GGCTCCTTCGCCGGACGTTATTGTCCCGGTGACGGTTAACTGCCCCAAACGGCAATACGTCCCTGCTCCTAAGCTGCCCTGCGCAACAGGGAAACACCTGGATGTCAGCCCGTGCCGCTGCCAGCCAACACGGGTGGCTGACGGGTGGGTGCAGTAGCTTCCCGAGGGGAACAGGATCAGTAGGAAACACGAGGAAAAGGCCACTTGGCCACGTTTCTTCAGGTGTTGGGTACCGGGCTGCGCCGTGGCTGGGGTTTCCTCCCAAGGGGTGGAGGGGTTGCGGGTGCCTCACCTGGAGGGAGGGATTCCCTCCTCCATCTCTGAGGACTGACTCAGTCACCGCACTGGACTTCAGCAGCTGAGCAAGGATGGTAAATCATGACCTGGGGATCTTCCTGGAAGCGAAGGAAACGTTTTGCAATTCTTTCTCTCCTAGGTCACTTTTATTTTGGTAGCTTTTACTGTTCACAGAGACCTGCAAGCCGCGTACACGCAGTCTGAGTGTGTAACTAGTATCCTATTTATGGGCTAATGCACTTAGTAAATGGCCCAGCAAGGCCGAGTACCAGCGCGCTCCCCGCCGCCCTCGCTATCCCCCCCTACGGACGCCCACCACAGAGTCTGGTTCGGCCGCCGACCTCAGCGACACGGTGTCACTCACTCGCTGGGTTGCTGTCTTCCCACTTCTGGCTTTTTAATCTCAGGATTTTATACCTGTTCACTTTGGTATTTTTCTCTTGGGTCCTTGAATTACTTACTATTAACTCATGCAACAGTTTCAGTTCTATGTTCTTTACCTTTCTTCCCTTGCATTGCTTTTGGCCTACATGTCTCACTAACAGCTCAGTGACAATTGTTTCTTTCAGTAAAGTTGAGCCGGAGTCCATGGCTGTACTTCACAAAACAGCATGTTTGTTATATAGGATAATTCTGCACAAAGAAAATTATGGGACTGGAAGGAGGAAACAGAAAAAGTCAGAAGAGTTCAAAAATAATTTACTATGTTGCCAAAAAACCACAGTGTGACATTTAAGCTTGAAGCTCGCTTCTTCTTAAGCAAGAATTAAGCTTGGGCATACTTTCTGCTACTTAGCTCAGTCAACAAGTGAAAGCATGAATAAAAAACAGAAAACCAAGGTGAAAGCAATGGGGACATAGGAAAATGGACATTAAGTGCTGTAAATCCAAAGTTTGAAGTGGAAAAAATGTATAAAGAAAACTAAAAACATAAAGGAAGAATTCAGTGTATAGCTTTTACTGAGGCATCTACCGCTCTCTGTAGACCATTTAAGGAAATAGGCATCAAACTCCTTTGGCAGCACCAGAAGTTGTACCTGTACTCTCTTAGGATCTGGTCTGAAAAAGCTACAAGTGATTCAAGTCAGTGGATCCCTGTACTTCCTTAGTGATGTCTCTGCCTGGATGTCATTATAATATTTCTACTTTTCTATAAAAATACTTTCTTTAAAATATTATTAATAATAAAGACTTGTATGACATCCTCAGGAGCTCCATTCGTTACACAAACATTGTGTTTTGTTCCTCGCACAGCCATTAGGAGTAAAGGCATTCAAATGCACCTTGATGTACTTCTATTAAAATTGTAACAAGTCCACCTAAAGCAAATGGGGACTCAATTCAGTTTCAGTTAAACTGTTATAGTTTTGCTGAGATGAAAATAACTCTTTTTATACATGTTATTTATGGAAAAGAGTTTTATGACATGACAGATGAGAGCAGGAGTAAACAAAGTAAGTCTTAACAAGATTAAGAGCATTTGATGTTGTAAACTTTTAAACATTTACTTTATATTTGAAATTCAATCGAATAAATTTTAGAGAGTGTAAATGATGATCCCAAGACATATTTGGACATTGCTAATGGTTTTAGTAAAACTACAGAAAACAAATGCGATTTATATAAAAACACAAATTCTGTGTACGTAAAGGAAAGACAAAAGCCTGTGGCAATGCACCAGAACTGCAAGTTCAGATTTGTCTTAGTCAACAGCAATTATATGTGACAAGAAGCTTAAACTAACATTCAAATGGGAAATGGAAGTTATTTGGCAGTTTAAAGATGATGTGTGAATGTGTTCACATTTTGTTTTGGGAAAGATGGACTTCTGTCTGTTTTGTTAAACTACAAATTTAAATCCTGTATATTCAGGAGTCCTACAGATACTTACAGAACCTTTAGATTTATTATTTTAAAGTATCATAAATTCAATGAACAACTTGTGGGAAAACTTCTGTATTGGCACAGCCCCTTGGTAATTTTTGTTCCTAGCGGGCAAGGACAAATAGGATGTACGTGACGTTTGATCAGGGAAATATCAAAGCAATTTCTGTTCAGACTGCTTAAAGCTTCTGGAGAGCTGCTGGCTTTTTAGAGCCCCTGCTTCTCCTTTGCTGAACAGTATCAGAGTTCTAGCAGAGGAGTATCCTGGTATGCGAGGAGCTGTGCCACTCATTGATGCATTTTCTTATGGAACTGGCCCATTTACACTTCCTTTTTGTACAAAGGAGGTTGCATAAGACACCTGCACTTGCAGGACACTTAGCCCCAAAACCAAATCTGATTCCCAGAGGGTAACTCTGGCTGAAGGGCACAAGACAAAGAACAAATGTTCTTGCTTTAATGCAAAGTAGAAATAACAGTAAGGCTTATTCACCCTGCAATATAGCTGTGCACCTACACAACGACATTTGAAGTAGGTAACACCAGTACCAGTCCAACTACAACAGCACAAAGTTCAAGTGTGAGTTAGTTTACATTGCAGTCACCTGATGACTTTTCTTAGGACAATCAATTTAACTCAGTTGAGAGAAGATCATCTCTATATTCCCTCCACTTAAAAACTAAGAAAAGTTTTGATTCATATGCTTGTGGCACCCCACTGATTTTCCTAAGAAAAATAGGAAAATTTTGCATTCTTACAGGTGGCCAAAACTGAGTTAAAGGAAAAAAGTCATGATTTATTTTACTGCTGTTATCAGCATTTCCAAAGTTTTGATCAGCTCTAATTCCTGAGACAGCTGGGAGTGATGACAAGTGAACAGACTAGTCTCATCACATTAACACTTGACAACAAAATTCTCATCTTGTTTAGACGCAAAGAACAGGAAATGGCAAAACTTCAAATTTTAAATTTACTCCTGCAGATTTCCTTATACGTGGTTACTATCCTTAAATGTCCAAATGTTTTCTCTTGTGTCGTTATACAGACTGCTTATTGAATGTGATCGTGTTATGAAAGTCAAGAGATTATTAAAGGCACCTTCTTTTTCCCAGAACTGTTTGAGCACCTCTAAGTGATAGCTGCTTGAAATTTCACTCCAGGTAAATTAAACCAAATGATAACTGTAGAAATGAACTAAGTTTTACACAGAAGATAGCCTGTGATCTAATAGAAAGTAGTTCTAAATTACAGCTCATCCTTCTGCATTTTTCACCACCAGCACCCATCATCTGTGCATTACTTCTGTTGCTAAGAATTTGGCAATGTTTTAGCAGCCAGCTACTGTTTATAAGAAGGCATCCCAGCAGCTAAAAGAAGTCAGTCGTTGGGATTACTCATTATTTGCCTCTTGAGCTGCTCCAGGGATTTTCTTGAGGAACTACATCAAAATTAGCTTTAGAAAATCAATAGCTTGTGAGCTTTGACTGACGCATAGCAAGGGCTCACTTGATGCTGGCCGAATTGGGGAGAAAGATACTTTTCGTTGGTATACAGTGAAGATCTTTCCCCTCTCTGCAAGAAGAAATTTGTTCTATTGGCAACTCGATCACCAGGATAACATGAATGCCAGGAGGTAAGCTGCATGTACTACATTCCCCCAGACAGGTAGAAATAGGAAAGCAAGCTACTGACAGGGAGAATATTCCTCTTGTGACCTTAACTTGATACTGCCAGATTATCATGAACTATGTCATTTGATTTGCTGCTATGCAAGACACAGAAGATAGCCTTTATCTTGATACAA